CCCCTTTATCTCTCCATCAATATCCGTCTCCCAATCCGCCACAACCGTCTCACCACCCACACACTCCCTCCCAAACCGCCGACAACTGTCCAACAACACCTCTGCCGTGCCCACCGTAACCAACGTCTTTTCCACCATTGCCCTTTTCCCATCACGTCCAAATACCCGTCCCCAAACTTCTTCCTGCGCATCTTGGTCGTCAGAGAAACCGCACAAATTTGCCCACACATCATCCAACTTCGGATCCCACAAATCTTGGAACCGCCCACCCTGGCCGCGCGACAGATAGTCCCATTTATCATCAGCCTCAAACAAATCTCCAGGCCGTTGCATGAATGCCCACGGAGAGATGAACACCGCCGCCTTGAAGATATCCTCGCCATCTCTCCATTCTCTGACAGCAGGGGCGTAAGGACTTGGTTTCGCCAGGTGCGCCAACAATGCTCCAACCAATTGTCCACCGGCGCTATCACCTGCTAGGACAATATCGGAGGGCGAGAGCAACATGTCGGTGAGCAGGTACCGTAGTGTAGCGACGGCCTGCATCAGTTGGGCGGGGTAGGGGTGTTCAGGCGCCAGAGCATACTCCAGTACTACCGTCTGTTTGGCGCCGCAGGCTTTGTATAAGGATAGAATAAATGGCATGTGGCCCATTCCTCTTAGGGGGTTCACGTAGCCGCCGCCGTGGAAGTAAAGGAGCGTCGTTTTCCTGTTACTTGTACTCCGTGCAGCGTGTCTGTTCACGTACAACGGGACGGGGGTGAGGAAGTGAAGAACCGGGTCCGGTACATTCTTTTTTAGGGATAGTCTGGGATCATCCAGATCGGTGGAGAAGGAAGAAATTGAAGGTGCATTGTGTGTGAGAGGAACAGTAACAGTCGAATAGGCAATGCGACGCTGGTGGATATAACTCTTTATCGCTTTGCCGGTGGGAGTCCGGCGCGCTTGGAGATGTAGGGTTTTGGCGGAAAAAGTGGCGCGAGACATTTTGAGGTAGGCTAGGGCGAGGTTTTGACGCCAGTGGAGATTGGGGTTACGATTGAAGAGGAGGAAGGTGAGGACGCGGGCGGCTGGTTGGTGTTAGTGAGTATCGTGTGACTGAGAGATGACGACGGGAGGGTTAGGCCGTTAGGGTGGTGACGGGCGCATGAACTGGTGACTCACCGAAGAGCGGGATAAGCCAGATCAGTGAAAGCTTCTCCCAGAGTGAGAGAGACTCAGATGGGGGCTCATCGGCGGTCATTTTGGGTGGTGATATGCCGAGGAGATCCTTAGTGCGCATGTTGGGATGTTGTTCGATGATGAAGTGAGGTCGAGAAACATGAAGCGGGGCCAACAACAGTGGTGATGTTGCGTTATTACGGTACCAGTTGTACTGAGGTAAGTTTCAGGCGAACAACCGCGGCTTGGCATAACGCTGTTACCCGCTGTAAGGGGGTTGCTGGTCGCTAACATTTAGAAGCAAAAGAGGAAAAGTTTCCACGGCAGCACAACATCAAACGAGGAAAACACCAAAGTTTGTCCTACATCATCACCATGTCAACAAAGCTCCTGACGAGTCACAAACCCGATGGTCGGCACAAACGATCCGCTTCGAACCGCGTGCGTCACACCCGCTGCATTCCGTCAGTTTCCGACTCTCGTCATTCGACATATTCCCCGCTTTCAACGACAGTCCGACAGCATGCATTCTGCTATCTTCAGCAGCACTGGATCCAGCCGCTCGTCGTCGTAAGACGGAGAGACTCAAGCACGCCCTTCGAACGGCAAGGTACTACCTCAAGTCCGAAGATAGGAGCGGTCAAAAACGGTTTATCACGGTTCTGGAAGGTCATCAACAAGAACACGAGCTCGCCAGAGGGTTAGAAAGGTCTAGGGCTGACAAGCTAAAAAACGACAATGTGGGGTTATGCATGCAAAAACGCCCCTGTCCATGTCACTGTCTGCGCCGACGGAACCCCCGCTAATGACAACATCCGACGATCCGGTTCGAGGTGTTCCGGTTGGCAAGGATCCGATGAACAGGCCGATGGAGTCATGGTACGTGTCAGGGTACTATCAGTGGGGTTCCATTGAGTCAGGACAACGACGTCTTAGGTATCGTGAGATTTTATATTTGAGGGAGTCGGTTCCTCACTCACTCATCGCAAACATTGTCATCGTCCATCCCCAAACACAACAGTCACCATGGTCGCCACAACCGTCGAGCTGCCTCTGCAGCAAAAGGCCGATGGCGATGCCCAGACTGGCCCTCTGCCATTCGGCAATTCCCTCCTCAAGGAGTTCCTCCACGATCCTGCCTACCGGAACCTCAACCACGGTATGCCTCCCTCTCTTCCCTTCCCCCATCCACAATAACCACAAGTACTAACAACCCCAGGCTCCTTCGGCACCATCCCCCGCTTCATCCAGTCCCAACTCCGCACCTACCAAGACTTAGCCGAATCCCGTCCAGACTCCTTCATCCGCTACCAAACGCCCGTTCTCCTCGACGAATCCCGCGCCGCCGTCGCTGCCCTTCTAAAAGTCCCCACCGAAACCGTCGTCTTCGTCTCCAACGCCACACTAGGCGTCAACACCGTCCTGCGCAACATCGTCTGGTCCCCCGACGGCCTCGACGAGATTCTCTACTTCGACACCATCTACGGCGCCTGCGGCAAGACCATCGACTACGTCATCGAAGATAAGCTCAACGCCGTTAGCTCACGCTGCGTCTCCCTCGTGTACCCAGCCGAAGACGAGGACGTCATCGCCGCTTTCCGCGCCGCAATCACCGCCAGCCGCGCAGCCGGCAAGCGTCCCCGTCTAGCAGTCATTGACGTAGTCTCCTCAATGCCCGGCGTGGTCTTCCCCTTCCCCCAGATAATCCAAATCTGCAAATCCGAAGGCCTCATCTCATGCGTCGACGGCGCGCAGGGAATCGGCATGGTGGACCTCAAGATCTCCGAAACCGACCCCGATTTCTTGGTCAGCAACTGCCACAAGTGGCTATTCACGCCGCGCGGCTGTGCAGTTTTCTACGTTCCCGTGCGAAATCAGCACTTGATTCGGTCGACGCTGCCGACTAGTCATGGCTTCGTGGCCAAGACGGGCGAGAGATTCAACCCGTTGCCGCCGACTAGCAAGTCCGAGTTTGTTAATAACTTTGAGTTTGTCGGGACGGTGGATAACAGTCCGTTTTTCTGCGTCAAGGACGCGATTAAGTGGCGGGAGGAGGTGCTTGGCGGGGAAGAAAGGATTATGGCTTACACGACGCGCTTGGCGAGGGAGGGGGGGCAGAAGGTGGCGGAGATTTTGGGCACGAGGGTGTTGGAGAATAAGAAGGGGACGTTGGTCAGGTGCGCGATGGTTAATGTTGCGTTGCCACTTGTGACGGGGGTTGATCTCAAGGCGGGGGTGAAGTTGACGGAGAAGGAGGAGAAGGAGGTCGAGGGGATGTATGAGATCCCGAAGGAGGAGGCGGCGAAGGCGTTCAATTGGATGTATAAGGTGTTGCGGGAGGAGTATAACACTTTTGTGCCGATGACGTTTTATAGGAGGAGGTTTTGGGCGAGGTTGAGCGCGCAGGTTTATTTGGAGGAGAGCGATTTCGAGTGGGCGGGACAGACGTTGAAGGAGGTTTGTGAGAGGGTGGCTAAGGGGGAGTATAAGAGTGCCTGATCATGATTGGGATTTGGCCATTTGGATATGATAGCGGTTAGTTCAATCTACTCTACCTTGATACCCTGAGTGGTTCTCTGGCTAGATAATGTTAACACGGATTTAGTTCGGCAAAGCTCTCTCATTGGCATACCAATGTCCATCAATCCGCAAAACATCCATCCCAATTCCCATCCCCTTCAAGCTCTTAACAGTGTCCACCACGCTCTCACCCAACTTTCTATACTCCAACCCCAACACTTCCTTGCTCCTGGTGTTATCAAACGACCAGTGAGTATTGTACGGGAAATCATCGTACATCAAACAATCTTGACAAACTTCGACATCCGTTCCCTTCTCGATCTGCGGGCCTTCATAACCAATACTGTTGGCCCGACTCATACCATGGATCACACTGGCAATCCTTGGGTTGCTGAAGAGCCCACCAACGACATAAAACCGCTTTCCTCCGGCCTCGGGTCTGGTCATCGCCCGAACATGGGCCACTGCTACGTCCCGCACGTCCACGAAAGTGAAGACTGGTGCAGTGGGCGGGATTTTGTCATGCCATTTGCCAGTGAGGCAATCGACGATTCGCTCGTTGGAAGTATTCACCTTCAACTCCTCTCCGTTCTTAACCTCCAAGCTCCTCGGCAGCGGCCCAAACGTGTAAGTGTTGTTAATCGTCGCCAGGTCCCAACTGGGCTTATGCTCGTCCATGAACTTCCACGCTGCTTTCTCCGCATACTTCTTGCTCGCTCTGTAGGTCGTGTCACCAGGGGCGTTGGGATCTTTGGCGATGTCCCAGTTCAGCGTCTCGTCATCGGGCCAGGACGATTCATCGTACACGTCGCGGTGGTTGGGTGGATTGAGGATGGCGGCGCTGCTGGAGGTGAAGACTACCCTTGCCAAAGAAGGGGAGGCGTGTTGCTGCAGAGAAGTCAGGAGGGAGATGGTGCCGTTCATGGCGGGGAGGAGACAATCGTTTAGGGGGTCGGAGAAGGAGAGTTGGTAGGGGGAGGCGGTGTGGATGACGTAGTGGATGGGAGCGTTGGATTGGATGGCCTGTGTGGAAGATGGTTCTTAGTGGCTGGTACCAAACGAGGCCGGGAAAGGGATATGGAGGTCGGGAGGGAAAAGGACAAGCGAACCTCATCAAAAGCTCCCAGTTGAGCAATATCGTCTACTACGGCGTAGGTCACCTTGCAGCCGACGCTGCTGACCACGTTAGGAGCATTGGCAATGGAGGCGAGAATCCTTTCGCCTTTGGCTTGCGAGCGGGCGGTCACTACCACGTCGAAGCCGCATTCGAGGAGGTGATCGAGGATGTGCGAGGCGATGAAGCCGGTGCCACCTATTGTTGACAGCGTTAGTTGGCTTGAAGAGTTGATTAGGGAGGGTTAAGGGGACTTGCCGGTCAAAAGCACCTTGCTCTTGGGGTGGCCGGGGATTCCTCCTAGAAACGGCATGGTGACCGTGTTGCGGGGGGTTCAAGTCGGAAAGGTGGTTTCGTGTTGTGGTGTCGTCGGGGTTGTCTTTTGAGAAGAAGATGAAACAAGTCCTTTATGTTTCGTTGACGTTTGTGTCCGGGGAGCTCGGATTGGACCGGTTGTGTTGCACGACAGTCGAGGTAACAGAGTCGGGCGTCCCCCACCCGAGTCCCGAGCCGAGACCAGTGACGTCCACACACCACACCAGCATATGCAGAACCATGTCTCAGTCATGTCTTCCCCGCGACACACCCTACATTCCAACCCCAGATTCAGCTAACATTTACACAAAACCGCTGCGCATCCCTCGCTTCTCGCGCGACTCGAGTCCTCGACACTTCGTTCCAGTCTTGCTTCCACGACACTACACCCTCGAAACTCGGAAACGTGCCAAATAGAGACATCTTCAACAACCCTCGACACCATTCCCAGACCTTGCTATCAACAGACAACTCAAAGCCGAAATGCCTTCAGTCGCCCAAAGTCACCCTCCTTCTGGGCCCTCTGCCCCTCTCGACAACCCGATCTCCTCCACCAACGCCTCCTCTCCCACTCCATTTCACGTCGCAATCATAGGCGGCGGCATAACCGGCATCAACCTTGCCCTCGGCCTTGAACACCGTGGAGTCCTTTACACGATCTACGAGCGCTCCCCTGGCTTTCGCGAAATTGGCGCTGGCATCGGTTTCTCCCCCAACGCCGAAGAGGCCATGAAGCTGCTTAACCCGGAAGTCTACCACGCCTACAAGCGCACCGCTAACCCGAACGGCGAAGACAAGTTCCAGTGGATCAACGGTCTCAACGACGAGCTGCTGTACTCCCTTCCCGTGGGGAAGGACGGATTCCTAGGCTGCAGAAGATCCGAGATTCTGGAGGAGTGGGGGAAGCTTGTCCCGCCAGAGAAGATCAAGTTCAACAAGACCGTCGAAACAGTTCTCGAGCCAGGCGACGAAGGGTACAACCCCGACGAGGACGCCAAAGGGAAGATCCTGCTTAAGTTCACCGACGGCACAGTTGACACCGCAGACATCGTCATCGGCTGCGACGGCATCCGCTCCAAGCTGCGCAACCACGTCCAGTCCCATCTCTATCCTTCTTCGTCTTCCGGGCCAGGGCGTGCTGTAGCAAAAGCAGGCTACACCCACAAGTTCTGCTACCGCGCCCTAGTCCCCATGTCCCGCGCCGTCGAGGCCGTAGGCCAGTACCGTTGCTCAACAAGATTCATGTACAACGGCCCGGGCGCGCACATCATAACCTACCCCATCGGCAACAACTCCGTGCTAAACATGCTAGCCGTCATCAGCGACCCCAACGAGTGGCCTGATGAGAAGAGACATGTCCTGCCTGGAAACAAGGAGGATATCCGCCAGGCCTTTAAAGGATGGCACCCCACTGCGGAAAAGCTCGCTGAACTGTTCCCGGAACAAAACGAGGGGGGAGATGGACCAATCGTCAAATGGGGAATCTTCGACACCTACGACTTTCCTCTTCCTCAGTATTACGCTGGTCGAGTAGCCGTAGCCGGCGACGCAGCCCACGCCACGGGGCCGCATCTGGGGGCCGGAGGCGGGCTGGGAATCGAGGATGCGCTGGTCCTGGCGGAGTTATTGGGAAAGGTCCCCGAGCTACAAGGCTCAAACTTGCAGGCACGGGAAGTGGACACGGAGATGATTCTCGAGCGGGTACTCTACGTATACAACGACTTCAGGTATGCAAGGACCCAGAAAGTTGTGGCCTGGACAAGAGATGCGGTTGATTTGTTTCAGTGGAAGGATGAAAGGGTGGCGAAGGACGGGAAGAAGTTTGGAAAGCTGGTCAAGAAGAAGTTTCATCACGTTTGGTTTGATTTGGATTTGCAAGAGATGATGAACTGGAACATGCCGAAGGGGATGCTCGAAATGGCGGTGCTTGAAGTGGCGTTGGCGCCAACTGTAAAGGGGGCGAGGGAATTTTTGGGGATTGGGAGTGGATCAGACGGGTCGGATGAGGATGCCGAGTGGTGAGGAGGAAACAATGGGGTGTTTGTTTTGTTGGATCATGACTGGACGGGTTGTTTTCTCATGTGTTGCTTGACCGGACATGATTCTTGCTCTTTTGCTGTTAGATGGAATGCCCTGTAACACTCTGTATACCCACTACACTTTAGCGGCATGAGCCTACACAAAGTACATCAATAAAGCAAGCTAGTCCAACTTTTCTATTTCAGTCACCTACCAGTTGTCAAACTTGTTTACTCTGTGCTTAGACGTGTTACCCATTCTCATCCAGAGTAACGGGGTCTTCCGCGTTTTACTTCGGTGCTCAAATGCCAAGTGGCTATCATATGGCTGATTGAACATCCCACGCAACCTCTCGCACTTAGGTTCCCCGAATGCTTCGCATTTTGTGGGCACTTGCACATTGGCTGTTAGGTTCTTTGCGCTATAACAAGCGATAATCTAGCAATACACTAACAAGCATCAAACTCCAAACACCAAGCACCAAACATCACCACAAGCTCTTTTATGACACCAGTTTAGACTTGTTTATCTCAATTGTCTCCACGTATATGAAGAGCACCCTCTCTGTTTCTTATAACATTTGTTCCATTTTCTTCCCTTCACAACGTTCAGCAATGTCACCGGATGCGGTCTTTTACAATAAAATCGGGAGTGTCTCGCGTGGGCTGAGGCCTTCCAAAACCTAGACTTTTGCTCTAACGTTACCATCCGACATAGTATCGAGAGCACTACAACGGTGCCCATCGGAGCACATCTTCCATTCACAGTCTCTTTAAACCTTACAGGGAAGGTACCCATTTACCTACGATGTCTTCGCTAAGGTTCAAGTAGGCCTTTTGGTGGAGTCTCTTCAGGTTCTTTTCCCAAGGTTTGGCTATGCCTTCACCAATATGCCCCTTCACCTCTCAACGATGAGAATTCACTTCGTGAAATATTTGCTGCGTTGGAGCTTATAAATATGCTATTATTACAACCATTGCTCATCCGCAAAATTCTCCCTTTCCATTACCAACCACCAAGCTGAAGCGAGTCATCTCGAAGAACGCTTCTCACCACAGGTATTGTTGAACACGATCATCTTTTTAGGTGACACTCCTCATCTAACTCAGCTTTAGTCACTACAACTACCTACCTCACCCACAAACACAACACAATGGCACCAAGAACCAACGCCATCACCACCGCCATCACCGACGCTCCTCAGCCAGCACTCACGGTCCCCAATCCCACATCCACCGTCAACATCAACATGACGAACATCATCAATTCTCCCGTCCAAGTCTAACCGCCACCAGCCAACTCCTCCTCAGGCTTGGACAGGCCAATCAGCCCCGCAACCGTCACCGTCGTCGAGTTCTCCGCAAGCTGGTCCAACATCTTTCTCGGTGTGGGCGGCATCGTCGGACTCATCATCTTCATCTGCTGGTTTATCAGCCAAAAAGCGTGGAACCACGGGTGGTGGCCCAAGGGTCTCAAAGACAAGCTTTTGGACACAGCTGTGGAACTGTTGCGAGTAATGGAGAGGATGGAGAACGGCATCGACACCATCGTTACTGCGCAGCAATACCATTTCGATTGCCAAGAAAGCCAGATGGATCGCTTGCTTCAGCTGCGCGGGGCTAAGGATCGGCGGTGCTTACATCGGGACGAGGAGCCTTGTGGGCCGAGATGCTCATCGTCGTCGTCGGCGACGGCGTGGGGCGAGGGTTGGGGAATGGGTCAGGGTTCTGGTTGGTCGGAGTGTGGGAGTCAGGAGAATCTCATTGCTGAGAAAGACTTAAGGGAGCGAGTGAAGCCAGAGAAAAGACAGAGAAGTGGTTCGGACAGAAAAGGGGAGCAGAAGTTGCTGGATGTTCCTAGCGGCTGGACGAAGTTGTCGCACTGCCGTGTGGAAAACCAGAGTGTCACGGATTGGGCAAGGGAGGAGATATTGGTTTGGCTGGGAGGAAATGGAGACGGGCTACATGCAGTCTATCTAGATCCGGCTTCGCCGAAATTGAAATCTGCTTGAAGGTTCTCACTTCCATATCATGAATGTAGTCGAATCCACGTGCCACGTTTGGGGATGTTCTTATGCTACTTCGATGTCTTGCTCAGTCACTCTTTCTCCTTTTAAGTTGCACTCACACAAGGGAAGGGTCCTGCGCTCAGATGTAACAAAGTTGTAGGCAATTCTATAAGAAACCAATCACCATTGGAACAAACTAGAAATGCCCTGAATCCCGTAATAAAGCCAGTGGATTGGTGGTGAACGCGTAGTGTACCCGACACAACAACAAAAGGCGCTGTACATAAGAACATAACCGCTTGACGAATTAACATAACCAGATACAGTTATATAATAGAGGTACCTTACACCACACCTGATCTACCAAGTGCACTCCCAGCACTGATTCAGTACACTCCAGTCCAAAATTCCATTCCCCACTATCCTGACAACCAGCTCCAGACAGACAGCTTTCAAATCTCCATCCTCGTCCGTCGTCCCAATTCCCAAACCATGGCTTCAAACACCACCACGAACCCCACCAACCCCGGTCAAACGATTAACATGGATGTGCAAGTCCGGGACCCCGACCTAAACCCATACGCACAGCAGATCTATATTGCCATCACAGTAATTGGCTGGTTCATCGTCTACTTCCTCTACGCCATCTAGAGACGGGATGGTACCGTATCTGTACCGTCGGTTGGGAAGCACTGGTCATGTTGAGATAATGAAAAGCGGATATTAAACGCCGTTTTCACCTAACACTTGAGTTTTCTGCAAGATAGTATAACAGAAAGAACCCTAACACTCTTCCTTTACGTTTGTGAATATCATAGTGGGCGCTATGATGAGACAGAATCAAGGTCACTTCAATTATGCGGGAGGACTTCTTAATGTGCCATGTTTGGGAGCATTTCCCCGTTGCATCTGCAACTTCAATGACTTCTGCCAACAGCCCGCCGACGCTCTACCCTTTTTTAGCGAGTTGCGCTTGCCCTGTTTGGCTGCCCCTACATGTTGTTCTTTCCGGAAGATAACAACCCGAAAAGACTCAATGTGAATGAAGTGACATTCCGATCAAGCTTGGAATGGAAATGAAGCACGATGAATGGAATCAATGAGATACATCCACGGACTCTCATGCGAGCATTCAACTTTAACAAAGATGTCGTGAGAATTTCCGGTGGTACTAAGAACGTCCTACAAGAAAACACCACTTCCTTGTCGATGACCTTCTTGATCGTTCCTTCCATTTCTCAGTGCAACATCGTCCCTGCCTACAAATCTTTGACACAACCGGAGATATATACCCCCAGCAAGCCCTTTTCCCTTGGGCCTTGGACTACCCGTACCACTACCACCCAAACTCAGCTTACCTCAACCACCTCAACCACGCCCAGTCACTCAGTCCCCCCCTTCCACTTCACACTCCAAACCCCCAGTGTACCCAAACTCCCAAACAAGGAAATTTCAGACCACGACTCACCCCCCAATAACGAACGCCCCATCAGCTTCTACGACATCGTCCAAGTATTTTCAGCCGTAACAAATGCACTCCATATCGGCATGATCGCCGCAGCCCCCTTCCTCATGATTTGCATCACCCTCGTAATCCTCCCGGAGCCCAACCTATCGGTCATCGCCAGCCTTATCGCCCTCTTTGGTGGGACGATAACCTTGAGCTTGTGGGGGGCTATCGCTTTGCAAAGGGAACAGCTGGAGATATGGACCTGAAAGAGAAGCAACCTGGAACTTTCCTCTACCACATGGAAGGGGGATGATAGTCGTGATTGTGGATTTTGCAGGGTGCACCGACGTGAACCTCTAGCAGGCAGGGACATAGACCACGGGAGTCTGTAACTGTCACACGGACATTTGCCCATTGTGAGGTGAGGATGAGGGTTAACTTTGGTGGCCCTGGGGTCGACGGAGAAAGAGGGAGACCATTCAAGTACGCGCCACCGACGAGAGACGGACTGAATAGTTACAAGGCTAAGGGGTGGTGCGGAGAGTGTGGCAGAAAGGCGAATGGCGTGGTGGTACGAGCACGATGAGGCGTGTTCAAGTTGGAAATGTGAAAAATGTGGGATAAAAGGTAGGTCGGAGGAAAACCGGGCAACGAGATTTCATAGAGGTTTATATATCGTTTGTCTAAAGAGCTTGATTTCACACACCTTCCTTCCCTATATCTACGCGACCAAGCTTCAACGACCCCTGTGGAACATAACGCAATCAACATTCGATTCAGCATCCCGCAACGTATATCATATCGCAGACCATGTCCATTCACCTTTTTTCTCGCCCCTTTATCCTCGAGTAAACGCCCCTTTATCCTCGAGTCAACGCCCCTTTATCCTCGAATCAACGCCCCTGTCTCTCATCATCTTTTACCCCTTCGTAGTACTTCATACCAACCCTTCTCCAAAGTCTGCACCTTGACCGTGCCATCCGCCATTCCAAAGTAGGCCGCAACCGGCTTCTGCGCCCCGCTCTCCACTTCCAGCCCGCTCTGTCCATAAAACAGTCCAATCTCCGCCACGCCCGGAATCTTAATCAACCTATCCGCCAGCCCATCCACCGTCCAGACGCCATCCTCCCCATCCTGCTTGCCCTCCGGCACATCCTCCTTATCCGCCAACAAAGGCTTAAAAGGCGCATCGACGATCCACAGCCCATTATCCGTAACGATCGCCCCCGCCTTTCCCGGCGTGCCCGGCCGAATCTTGGGTCCCAAACTTCCCAGCTTCTTCAACTCATCCAAAACCCGCGGCGCAGCCATCGGCAACACCTCAATGGGGATGCCCTTCTTCCACTGCGTCCCCAGGCCTTGCTCGCGGGAACTAATCTTCCTGAAGTCGGCGACGCACACGAACTTGCGCGAGGCGGTGGCGACGATCTTTTCTTGCCAGAGGCAGGCTCCGCCTCCTTTGATTAGGTTAAGCGAAGCGTCGACCTCGTCGGCGCCGTCGAAACAGACGTCCAGAAGCTGCCCGGGGGGAAGCTTGTTGATGTAAGCGAGCTTAAGGCCCGCGTCTTCGATCAAAGCCTCGGATTGCGCGCCGGTCGGGTAGAAGGTCATGTGCGAAGTTATGGATGAAGGGAACTGGGCGATGGCGGCGACGACGTAGACTACCGTTGAGCCAGAGCCGATGCCGATGTGGCGGTAGGAGGGGAGGAGGTGGTTGTTGACGGCTTGGAAGGCGGCGAGACGCTTGGATTCTTCGACGAGGGCGGCGGCCGCGGCGGCGTCGGTGGGATGGACATTTTTGGCGGTTGTGTGGAGGGGTTGGTGACGGGTACTATTGAGGGGTGTGAGTTGGTGGCCCGGTTGGTGAGTTGAAAATTGAGAAAGGAAGAGGGAATTGAAGGTAAGGGCGAGGTGATGCGATGAGGTGATGTGGTTGAGATCGAGATGAGTGGGAAAGGGAAGGGTTGAAATGTGGAGTGGTGTGACGACGGGATGACTCGGGGCACGGATCCGGTGATTCGGGGATTGATTGAAAGAAATTTGTGAAAACCCTGCCGGAACTCGGGCCGGGGGGGACGGCTTGCACTAACAGGTTTGGGTGTGGTTGGCGGGGGATATTGTTATGGAGCGCTGTTTATGAACTGTTAGCGATTGAGTCAGTGGGTTCAGGGGTCCTGTTGATGCAGGTACGGGCGGCTTCAATTGCGGGGCTGCTGAGAGAGCAATTTCTCAGGATCACGCTCTTCCATCTCATCGCGACTCACCGAATTGGCCTTTGGTTTGCGCCCGCTGAACACTAACCGGACGATAGACTGATGAGGCTGAAGAGTTGAAGTTGGCAGTGGCAGCGGCAGCGGCTGAGTGGAACGCGGGGGCGGCGGAGGCGGGTCTTTGTTGACTTTTACTTTCAGAGCTCGGGTGCTGAACAATACCTGCTGCAAAAGGACGAGCGGCACCGGACCAGCAATGACGAGCTGTCAACGATGCGACACGATGGGGGTTCATGGGAGGGTGATACGGAGGGAAATGACAATACGGAAGAAGCAGTCGGCGGGTTTTCAAGACATGTCGTTGACATGCAAGAGGTCATTGGCCTATTGCTAGCTACGGTCACGCACGGGGCACCAAATTGGTGATTGCCCTGATGTCACGCCGCGGTCGTTCACCGGGAGTGGGTGCGGGTGCGGGGTCCGGGAGCTAATGTGGGGTCAGAGTGAACTGGAGGGGCCACCGTGTGGAGAAGTCCGATAAAGATGGAATTGGAGAATGCCACTAACAATTTTACAGCGACTTTGATTCCAAGCTCATGTTCAGATTTCATTTCTGCCACGGTCATTTTCGTCACCTACCCTCGACATCCACAGTCCGTCAATTGTCACCCCCGACACACGATGAACACCCCCAAATTGGCACCGCAACCAATCCAACATCTCGAATGTAGCCACCTCAGTGCTGGAACCTGAAATCCAGCCTCTTGTTCCCCTTGTCATTCGTGTTCGCCAAATACCCAAGTCTCTCCTCCGTCGTCATGGCCTCCCATTTCTTCGCCTTCTGCTTGTTGCGGAAGATGTAGTACAGCTTGACGAGGATATACAGCACAATGTTCATGCAGCAGACGGCCAGCAGTTGCTTGTTGGCGCGCTTGTATAGTGGTGCGTCGTCTGTTTTACGTTGTTGTTAGCATTCTTTTATTCTCCCATCACCGTATCGAACCCGAACCCTGGCCACCAGTCGCCGTCGACGCAACCGAACGAGGAAGCACGCGAGGACCCTAGCAAATGAAGCGATCAAGCAAACCAGACGACTCACCCTTCCGATAAATATTCGAACTCACAATCCCCCCCGCCTGCACAAACATATTATAACAAGCCGCCGACACCGTTCTCGACCTAACCGTATTCGAGTTCCTAGAATTCCACCCGACCTGAATCGGATGCGCATTCGGATATCCCAGCAGGAGCGTTGTGACGGCATAGATGACCCATCTATTGACGCCCGTGGTGTCGACAGTGTTAAGGTAGATGAGGAACGGCAAAGCCCAGATTTGCCCCGATGCCGCGATCAGGGTGAGCTCGTTGAATATTTCCCCGAGATAGGTGATGCCGAGCATGGTGATCATGTGTAGCACCGTGTAGGGGATGGTGAGCAGGTTGGCTTGGAAGGTGTCGAAGTGTAGCCCCTTGAGGGTGAGGGTTAGGTATTGGGCTATGGGCGTCATGGGGATTTGGAAGACTAGGCCTAGGATGTAGAGGGGCCTGCGGTCGTGTTAGTACCGTACCGAGTGGTATGAAGAGAGAAGGGGAGGCGACGAACCAAAGATCAAAGTCCTTGAGGCTCTGCCAGAGAAGTCTCGGCGTGATGGGCTCACGGTTATGCATGTCGCTCTTGCTTGGGTCTTCGCGAATAACGCGATTGACAATGATCTTCTCTTCCTTTTCGGTGAACCACCCGTTCTTGCCGCGGAACCAGCTGGCGGTGTGGCAAGGGCCCGCAGGCATGAGAGCGAAAGCAAAGATGCCGATGATGAGTGTCATTAGGCCCTGTTCTTGTTAGCAACCACCTCTTCCACCCTTCTCGGTCACCACCCAGGCCGACTCACCTCAATCAAGAATAACCACCTCCACCCCGCATGCCCCTGCACGCCTCTCATATGCAACAGCCCATACGCCAACAGCGCGCTCGCAATATCCGCAACACTCATGGCCGTCCAGAAGAAGCCCAGTCTCAGGGATAACTCATGGTGCTTGTAGAAGTAACTGAGGTACAAGATCACGTCTGGGATGAAGCCGCCTTGAAGGATACCGAGCAGGGCCCGGCAGGCGAGGAAGGAGGTTCGACCGGAAAGCCAGAATTGGCAGGTCGCCACGATGGACCAGAGAACCATCTGCGCGGGAATCCAGCGGTCGGGACCGACCCATTTGGAGACGAGCTGGGAGGGAAGCTCGGCGCAGAGGAAGGCGAGTTTGAAGACTGAGTTGCCTAGGTTGTAGTCTGCGGCACGGTTTGTTCTCTGTCAGCAAATGTTTGGGCAATTATGGGACCTGAGTGGATGGATGGGTATGGTGAGGGAGGAGTGTGTGTAGGTGAAGGAGGAGTGTGTGTAGGTGATGGCCCGGAGGAATCGGGTAAAGAGAGAAGAAGTAAGACTGGGTCGACCAGAAAGAGAAGGAGAAAAGACAAACCATTCGTCGTCATCCCCAAGTTTCCCAAGAAATTATCCGTCAACGCCTGGCCGATATTCGCCCGATCCAGCTCCAGCGCCATAAACATGATGCACGCCCACACCATGATGCGCCAGTCGATCTTGCGGATAAGCCGATGTTCTTGCCCCATGTCCAGCGTGCGAGGGGGTCAAAGCGGTGGATGTTTTCCCTTTACAGCCGACCCAGCGTCAGCGATCATTCATCCAGCAGGCATAAGAGGAAGGGGAGGAGAAGAAGGATGCGAAGGAAACTCACCAATCCGGCCGAGGCTGATACTTCTCCGCCGTATCAGGGTCATCAAACACCGACACTTGTGTAGCGATGGCGCCGGGATCGTAGGACTGGGCACGTTGGAACCAGAAGCGACGTTCTTCGACTGCTACGCCTAGTGGAGGGATTGAAGAAAGGGATTCCGAGGACGTGGAGACGATGTTGGACTTGGAGCCTTTGGACTCGGAAGACTCGAGAGTAGGGGAGTTGTTTCCGTTTCTGTCTGAGGGAGTGGGAGCCGGTTTGGGCGGGGTGCCACCTTTTGCGAGGACTGTTGCCATTTTGATGGTTGTTTTGTGGCGAGCAGCCGACTGGACCTTTGGTGAGAAGAAGACTCAGGGCTTGTGTTGAATAATGACAAAAAGAGGAGATGGGATTCAAATATGAGAGACTCGAACATTCCCTTCGAGAGTCGGTGGTTGCACGATTACAACGAAGACATCATGGTCAACAACCGGGAACACGGATCTCTATATGAGTTTACAGCCCTCGGGGCTGAGATCGACAAAGACAACGGACGACAAGCACTTAATTGTTGCAATGGGTTCACGGCATCCAGGGGACGTATTTCGACATGGCGACGGAGTTGCACATCATTACAGAGGGACGCATACAATGCATACAATGGAGTACCAAACAACCACGGAATCCGACGTCGTAGCCAGCCATGCCAGCAATACCGAATAGGATGCCACCTCCCGCAGTGCGTGCCATTTCAACCCTCGACCGAACTGCTGGTACGGCTTCATAGACGGCGCTTCCACATGAATTCCAGTGTATGGTTCGCCACGTCCAAGCTGTGTCCCAAGCTCTGGGCGCCATGATGTCGAAAACGAGGTGCAACGAGGAGGCAACAAGAACACAGCGAGGACGACGCCTGGGAGGTCTAGCCAGCGCCACAGGTTGATAGACCGTGCAGACGTGATCCTTGGCTGGAATGAGGTTGGCGTGGGAATCGATGGGAAGCGATAAGGGTCTGCATCTGGTCTGGAACTTTACAGCAACATCTAGACTGTACCCAATGGGAACGAGCTCCGGATTCTGGACCAAGCCACAAATAATGTTTGGCGCTTCTGGCTGAAGGGTTCGAGCTTCGTGGGGAGCGTAGCAGTATTGTGGTTGGAGTGGGAGGTTGAGCCTCACACACGGAACGCGTGGCGGTTTTCATTCGCATCGTTGGTTTGGTCGGTCTGGACACTCAAAAGTTTCGCCTCAACCATAACACTTGAAGCCATCAAGACTTATTCAAAGTTCTAGGGAGAGATTGAGCTTGGTTTACAACGCCATTTGTTCAAGGCAAAGCTTGCAGTCTTTCAATTATAATCGAGTGTCTCAACACCATTTCCGACACTCACTCGCCATCCCATGCTTCCGAACAACATCTTGCGCAACCTCAAAAAAATCGCGAAATAGTTCATGATATCGGAGAAACATCAATAGTCGACATCGCGGGGTCCCCTCAGTCAATGCGTGGGGGGAGAGGGGTAGTTATTGGCAATTTGCCGGGTGGTGATGGCGTGCTGGTGTTGACGTGCTCGACCCTGACCCTGACGTGAATGACAAAGGCAGCGCAACCATTGGTCAATTGGGACATCGCGGCAGCAACCCAGATGTTGCAGGATGTCGCTACCACTTGCTGCACCAAGTTTGTAGCGATGGAGATAAGCGCTAACCCCAATGTCTTCCAGACCTGTTGTCTCTTTGGCAGTTGTACCCGTGTCGCCGCCGTCTACCCAACACTGCGGCGCCAAGATGACCTACCCGATCAAGCTTCTCTTTACGCCGACGCGAGATGAATACCCCCTTTGGTAATAAATGCCCAGCTTCACGACATCACGGCATCGATGTTACAATCCAATACACCCTCGTTCGGCACTTCCCCGCACAGAACGGCACCGATACGGCAACGGACACCGATCACGGAATCACGAAAGATGCTATTCATGGATAACTGAAGCATGTCGACACCAATTCGCCATATCTCGTCATGTAGTCAATCATTATGATTGGCATCACGACGCTATTGGATGGTGTCTTCGCTGCGAACAACGGAGGAGGTTCGTCCTTCGAAGCACGGGGACCACGAACAATGCATGCACAAAACTCCATGTGGTCTTCCGGTTTCCGAACTTATACAGTTCTCCGGACCTGACGATCATCTATAAAAGAGGTTGAGTGATAAGCCATCACTTTGAGTTCCAGTCCTGTTCTTCACTCCAGGCTAGTCAAGTCATCCAACGTTCACTCCCTTCCAACCATCAACATCAACATCAACACTCACCCAACAACCACAACAATCATGGCTCCTTCCGCTGTCGAGGCCGTCCAGGCTGCTGTCCAGACCACCATCAACGTCAAGAACCAGGCTACCCAGCAAGGTGCTCCTACCCAGCACGCTCAGCACGTCGAACCCCTCAAGCTCTCCGGTGTTCTGGATCAGTATGAGCACTTCGACGTGACTCCCATCATTGGCCGCGAGTTCCCCAAGGCCAACCTTGTCGAGTGGCTCAATGCTCCTAATGCTGATGAGCTTATTCGGGATTTGGCTATTACCAGTTTGTCTCCCCTTCATCCCTCCCCCTCCTCTTATCTCGTCTTCACCCCCTTCCGCTGTTCGTCACACTAACCGGGCATCTCCCAGTCTCCCGCCGCGGCGTCGTCTTCTTCCGCGCCCAAAACAACCTAACCAACGACCTCCAAAAACAACTAATCCTCCGCCTCGGCGAGCTCACCGGCCGCCCCTCCACCTCCGGTCTGCACATCCACCCGATCCTCAACTCGGACCGCGAGTTGGGGGGCAACGACCCCGAAATCTCCACCATCTCCTCCGTCCAAAACCGCAAGCTCTACCGTGACTGGTCCGGCGAGAAGGCCGAAGAGCTGTCCACCAAGAAGCAGTACACCTCGCAATGGCACTCCGACATTGCCTTTGAGCCTGTCCCTGCCGACTATACTTCTCTCCGTCTGGTACAGCTGCCCAAGACAGGCGGTGATACCCTCTGGGGTTCTGGATACGAGATCTATGATCGCATCTCGGAGCCGTATCAGAAGTTTCTGGAGGGGTTGACTGCTACGTTCGAGCAGCCGGGGTTCAACAAGGCGGCGGAACTGAATGGGTTTCAGATCTATGCGGAGGCCCGTGGTGCGCCGGAGAATGTGGGGACTGATCTCAAGGCTGTGCATCCTGTTGTCAGGACCAACCCTGTTACTGGCTGGAAGAGCGTGTATCCCGTGGGCGGACATGTGAAGCATGTCAATGGCGTTACGAAGGAGGAAAGCCAGAAGCTGCTTGGGTGGTTTGTTGAGTTGTTAGAGAGGAACCATGATTTGCAGGTCAGGTTTAAGTGGAGTAATGAGAATGATATCGGTAAGTCTTTCTTTCCTTGTTTCTGGAGTGGATGGAGAGGGGAAGGGGAACGGGGAAAGAGAAAGGGAAAGAAGGAAAGCTAACAAACGAGCAGCAATCTGGGACAACAGAAGCGTCTTCCATACAGCTACCTTCGACTACGAGGGCCAAGGCGAGCGCTTCGGTAACCGCGCGGTTGGGCTTGGCGAGAGGCCGTATCTTGATCCTCAGAGCAGCAGCAGGCGGGAGGCATTGGCGGCTGCTGGTGAGCTGCTTTAAGCGGAACTGTGGAAGGAGAAGGGGAAGGAGAAGGAGAACATATCTCTAAGGGAAAAGCAAGGGGGGCTTGATTGGTTGGCTTTCAGTTCTGGATTGCTTGGGTTTTTGACTTTTGAGATTGTGTTTTGGATGACATGGAGATGATAGCAGAGGAGAATTGACTTTGAACTTGACTTTTAACTTGACTGTGAGGGTATACGGGGTTGTAGCTTAAATCCCATTTACTACCCACCGGCAAGATAAGCCATGTCATACAGACCTTCGGCAAGTACATGTACCTTACATACAGAAATCCAAAATCCCCCCCAGCCCAACAAGCACTCAATCATCTTGCCCAAAAGACTTCGCGAATGGCGGACGGCCCTAAGCACAGGTCTGGAACAGCACTAGTTCGGTCGAAAA